CCCCAAAACCCCAAAACCCCAAAACCCCAAAACCCCAAGATAAGCTGATAAGATTGAATTTTTAAGAATTATTTTCTAATTTAAGCTCTATAAAAGAGTCTTCTTCTTGGTTAAATCTCTTGTTCCGCCTCAATACTTTCTTGATCAATGTAGCATCATCAAAAAGTATAGTCATGATGGCAACGATAATGGAAAACCCTGCCTGTATGTAAAATATCTGAGCATATTCAAGATGTCTAGAAGACTCTAACCTCAGTAATAGTAGATTTAGAATAGTAGAGGTAGAAAATGCTCAGAAGATAGTCCCATGCACTTTTCCACCTGTCACAGCTCCATATAATTTAGCATTGACTGTCGGGAAAATTGAGAAGTATCCTCCTAATCAGAAATATGTTACTAATGTCCAGATGAAGTATAACACTTTCACTTTATGAATAAAGTCTACTGTCAATGCAATTAATATCTGAAAAATAATTAACGTTAGGAACACTGCTTTAAATCCGTAGATATCCTGAAAATAAGCCCAAATTCCTCTTGAAAGGCCGTTCATTGCTGCTCCGAATGATCCTGTAATCATTAAAAATTTCTCATCAGGAACATCTATATTCGCATATGTTTTGAAGTGGCTTGCCATTAACATCGGATAGCTAACACTAAGAACTATCATTACCCAAATATATAGGGTTCTATAATGTAGCATAGCTTCTTTGTAGGTAGGTTCTACTATTTCAATATTTTCTTCCACCGAGACAATCAAATGATCCGAGCTAAGCCCATTATTACTGCTCTCAACTCTGTCTTCCTGAGACTCTCTTTTACGTCTGATTAAGATCAGTGAGATTATGAGAATAATCAGCCATCATAAGCAATTAACTCTCAACATGAGAGGGGCTCTTGAGGAAACAGGATCATTAGGATGAAATATCATGCCTCCTGATACTTTTTGTGTAGCTTGGTGTCCCTCAGGATTCACTATCAGGAGTGAAACATAGCTGAAAATGAAAGACCCAAAGCCGAAGCCTCCAACAATGACTCCACTGACGGCACCACGTCTTTCTGGGAAGTACTCCCATCCTCATACTAAGGGAGCTAGATATGTAATTCCAATTCCAAATCCATAGAATAGCGGGTAAACAATAACGAAATAGGTCACATTTGTGAGAAAAGAAGTTAAGAAAACTCCTCCAATAGCAAACACTCCTCCTACTGTAATCAGGACCCACACTGGGTAATGCTTCAGCATGAAGGGAGCTACAGGCATGAAAATTGCTTGAAAGACACCCTGCAGTACAAATATTGTAGAGGTGTCATCAAGAGTTACTGAATGATCATGTTTATGGAGGTATGAGGTAATATACACCTGGATATGCCCCCAAAGATAGAAGCAACCAAGGTACAGGTGGATTATGCAACCTCCAATCACACAGAGAATTCCTCTCATCTTTTGATCATCTGCCATATTTATTTTTGTTATTCCTTTCAATTAAAGTTGGAGAACTTGGGGTTTTGGGGTTTTGGGGTTTTGGGGTTTTGGGG